ATAGATAGATAGATAGATAGATAGATAGATAGATAGATAGATAGATAGATAGATAGATAGATAGATAGATAGATAGATAGATAGATGTCTTTGTTCAAAAGCAGCAGGAATAAGACAATGCTTTTATATTATAATTTTCCTTATTAGCACTAGCGGTAGTGCAACAGCTTGAGGTTTAAAATAATATGAGAAAATTAAAACTACATTAACAACTATTTCTTTTAACAATGGAACTGCTGGTTTAGTTTGCTAGTTTGTCCGAAGTCACTGCTTCTTTTACATGGGACAGCATAAAGAACTACATTTCCCATAATGCCTTGCTGAGAGTACAGTTGCAGTTCACAGTGCACTATATTACAGTGAAAATAGGATATTCGCCGCCAACCGTTAATGTACTAAACGGCAAAAAGCAACAACTTGGTGGGCCAACGACACATTACTGGGCTTCAGTCCAACCGACATCCGGGTTGTGACCCCCGAAAATGGGTTTGAGTTGAACGGTGCCCCCTTCCTTTCTTTCCTGGGTTGTCGTCGGATTTCCAGGCGAGTAGCTGTGGGTGCTAACGCTAGCAGGCTAGCTCTCCGAGAAGAGCAGACAACCGCTGGCCGCTGCCACCGTCTCCCGGACTGCTTCTCTGTGCTGTTAGCGCAGCCATGTTCGTGCAGGAGGAGAAGATATTTGCCGGTAAAGTGTTGAAAATACACATCTGCACGATGGACGGCACGGAGTGGCTGGAGGAGGTCACGGAAGACACCACTGTTGAGAAACTGAAGGAGAGGTGCTTGAAACATGTAGGTTTTTTTAAGGGGTGGGGGGTTGTTTATGCCTTCATCGATATGTCTTTTTGTGCTGTCACTCCTCTGTGTGAGGTGTTATCTGTCTGCCATGCCCTCTGTTTAAACTGTCACTGTCAGTGCTTTTGTATTTATAGTAACTGGGTAGACTGCTATTTATAATTTAGTAGGTTGGCTGCCCCTCTCTGACTGAGTGGCCTTTTTTTTCTGTCCCCAGTCAGATAGGCATGCTGCCTTTCTATTATTATACAGCTCACCCCTGCTCTCCTCATATGGTGTTCAACCACCTTGATGTAATGCTCAACCTAAACACCTCTGTCTTTACTTTATGATAGTGGGACATTTTTAAATGCCGTCTTGTAGTTGCTAAAATCAAATGACTATGCAGAAACGATTCCATTGAGTTACTAAAATTGCTAAAAAGTTTTTAATAGGTGCCTGCCATATCAATGCATGTCCATTACATGCTCCCATATATTGCATGGAGGCATCCATTATTATTATGTCAACAAATCTGACTCTTTATGTATGATTTATTGATTGATTGACTTTAGTGATGTCCCAGTAGATACATTTAGTAATTACATCAGCTCAAATATTTAAAAAGAGAGGAAGAATGTGCCAAAGGAGGAAAAATGTATATGGGATATATACAGGTTATACAGTGGGTCCACATATGACAGCTTTTTTTCTTTTTTTCTTTTTCATAGCAGGATTATTATACAGGGTTATTGCATAGGGTATTTTACGGAAGATGATTAGGGCCACTGAAAAAAGAAGTTAACAGATTTTTAAATCTTATTTCTGTTTAATATGGTCAAAAAGTCAGAATTCTGACTTTAATTTCAGACTTCTGACTTTAATTTCAGACTTCTGACTTTAATTTCAGACTTCTGACTTTAATTTCATAATTCTGACTTTTTTCTCAGAATTCTGACTTTAAT